GAGAGAAGTGAGATTGCAACCACATTCCTTCTTGATTCACAACCAACCAGTGCTAAGCTAGAAATCTAAACCGATTGATTGCAAGTTTGGAAGCTTGGGAAGCTAAGGAACCAAGAATTTCAAAGGAAGTGAACTATCACTCATCCAAGCCTTGTTTTTGAGGTATTCAATCTGATCATGGTCCTTGATCTTTAAATCTTGTGTTAAGATGTTATTTAGCTTAAGTTTTGGCTTGATTTCAAGATGAGCAAGTGATTGTGATGATTATTGGATGAAATAATCAAATCAGGGTTTTGGGGATTTGCTGCCAAACTTGATGTGTGACTCACATATGTTGTAATTAAGGTTATATAAAGGGTTTTGGTAGTGATTAGAACAAGAAATTGAGGAAAGTTACATTAAAAACTGAAAATCCCAGAAATCTGGAAAATTGTTCTTCCATTCTGCCGTTTTTGTAGCCCTATGTTAGAGGCCTAATTGGCCTTTGGTCAAAACATGAAAGTTGTTCAGAATGGTATTTTATAGGTGCCCACAAAATTTCAGCTCATTTGGAGCATCGTAGCTTGTGAAAAGACGAAAATACCCTCGCTGATCTAGGTCACTTTCCAGAATTCCGCGTGGACAGTTCAGTCCTTTTGATTGAGTTTATTCACTATGATCCGTTTAGATTTAGCCTTTCACCGAACAACATGAAGTTTTATTACCTGTCTTTAGCTTCGTAACGCCTCCAAGAACACCTTAATTGGATCTTGGTAGACTGAGATATGGTCATGTGAGTGAAATGCGGCTGATTAGCCGAATAGTTGAAACCGGTTACATGAGTTGGGAATTTGATCAGGTTACATTGAAAATTTGACTGAGTGCTCTTCATGAAAGTTGTAGTGTTCTGAAGTAGCTTTAAAATTCCTCTAAGAACACCTGAATTGGATTTTTGTACACTGAGTTATGTTCATTACAGTGTTCTGCGTTTAAACAGCCGACGAATTAGTTTCTGGTTTAGTAATTCGAGAATTTGACCAAGTTACATTAGAAACTGGACTAAGTGACCTTCATGAATATTGTAGCTCTGTATCTTAGCTTCGAAACGGCATAGGTTTCATTTTAATCCGATAAGCGTAGCCTCGGATATGTTATTTCCGCATTTGTACGTCAAATCTGTTTGAACTAAATTGAATTTCTGCACTTGTACTTAATACGATTCTTGTTATTATGATATTGTGAGCCTATGGAACGGCTCTTGACATGAATTGCTGATATGTATAATGTTGGGTTGTGTTTGAGAAAAACAAATGAAGCCTAAAAGGCTGGAAAATTAGGTAAACACAAAGGGCATGCTGCCCGAATTTTTTACTCGAGGACTAGAAAACTATATTAGCGACTTGAGTGAAGGTTAAGTATTTATCACTTGAACTAGTAAAGACCTTTGCTACTATGTTTCTTGAGTGTTATATGTTAAGACTTGGTCGAGCTCGTACCTTGAGGAAAAGACTTAATGGCCAATGTAAACTTGTATTTCCATGTACTTTCAACTCAAGTGTTATTTCCAAGTATTTATGCTACAAAACCTTATGATTTGAAAAGCGAGCAAGTGTTTCGCGAGTGTCTTTCAAATGAATTTCAATTGGTCGATTTTTAATGAATGGAATGTTAACGTTTCGAATTCGACTCGTGTTTCAAAGTTCTCAAACTGGAATTTTTATATCGCAGATCTGGACTCCAAGCCTGGAGTGTAATTGAACGTGAATAATTGAAGCACTATATCTTTTGGTGAGTGCTTTCAAATACCGAATTGCACTAGATACTTGAACTTGATACGTGACCAATATGAGTACATGTTATATACGTGAATTGTTAGGGCAAGAGTGTACTTTATCGCACTTGCCCTTACGTGATATACTTGTTTATTGTTGCAATTGACTTGATATACTTGTTTATGGTGCGCGCACTTCCTGGAATTCCAGAACCTGCGGCAAGTTACTTGAGTCGAGCCGGCAAGGGCTTGGTCGATTGGGTAACGAACCCTGGGTCTCTTGTTTTGTCGAGTGGAGTGATATCTTCTCGGCTAAACGGTAACTCGAGTATTACCAACGTGTTTATTGAGGATTTTGGGCCCAGTAGGGGTGAACGGTGGACGGAGAGTCGTGTAAGTGGTGTTCTACTGGATTGGTTACCTACTTAAAAGTTGACGGAGTGTCAACTGTTACTTGATCAAGCTCTGGAGATGCAATGAAATTTGGCTCCTGAGAGCCTTCCGTATCCTTATACTTGAAAGTGATTATTGCTTATTGGATTGCTGTTCCTTTTGAAAATCGAAAAGCACTTTATACGTGCCATTTGGAAATTTGCTACTTGAAATATTATTGTCCACTCTATGAGTTTTTGATGCCGTTAACTTGCTACATGGATATTCATACTTTTAAAATGGGCAATTTGTTATTTGAAACCTCACTGGGCTTTTAGCTCATTCCACGCTATTTGTTTTCCTTAAAGGAATACGAGTGAGGCGTGAGTCGTGAACAGACTAGCGTAGTCTAGTTGCTCTTGAAATTGTTTTGACTTTTGACTTGTACTCGCGCTATCCTCGAATGGAACATTTGTACTTGGATTGTATACATTTTGAACTAAGTTTGGTGTATTGAGGCTTTGTACCTCGATTTCTATCAATGTAAATTATAAGCTTGAATTGTGAATGTTATTTATGGTTCATGGATGTGTGTACATGACTCGATTGAGATAGTGAGTGAGTCCTGGCGAGAGCTGGGCAGGCGGTCCGCCGAACCCTTTGGTACGCCTTAGGTGGAGGTGGGGTCGTCACAATTTGTTGTGTTTTTCCCCCAAAAATACTCAGCTTAGTACCTTGTTTATTTTCCTCATTCATCCGCTCTTTCTTTTTCTCGCGCATTGGTTTAATTTTCTGCATTTGTTTTGTCTTGCAGAGCTCCTCTTGCTGCTATGTTGCTGGTAAGTTTCTTCTACAAGCAAACATTTATTTACTTCAGGTTACTCATCATAATTTTTTCTTAGATTACTCAACCATATTAAAAATCTTTTGTCCCCTTTTCATTTTTCCGCATGATTCCTCGAACCCATCTGCTCTAATATTCATCCCAAAGACATCTTCTTACATACACCCCAATTTTAATTTGGATGGTCTGCATCAAAATTAGGGATGCCCAGATATTAGAAATTCACTAGCTTTTGCTCCAGTCTTGGGATTCAAATTTGCATTCTTTTTTTACAACTTTCTACTGTTCGATGTTTCCTGTTTCATTTAATAGAGTTATCTTTTTAATACAAGAGGGAAAAATTATGATTACTTCAGGTTACTCAATCATTTTTTTTCTTTCTTTTTTTTTGGGCAGATTGGAAGGCAACAGTTGTTTGTCTCATATTTATGAGAAAAAAGGTAGACTGAGTTTTTTTCCACAAATTAATTGGTGATCATTTTGTTTCTATATTGGAGAGTCGGGCTATTTTTCCCTTCTGTCTTAAAGATCTGACAAATACTTTTTTTAATTATTGATTTTTTTCCTATACACACATTACCTTTATGTTGTGTGATTATTCTTTTCTTGTGTTTTTCTCTAACTTGTAATTGATATGTGCCTTTTTCTTTTTAGAAAATTTTTGGTCCTTCTTCTCTCGCGGCATTCTCTTTCCTCATGGTGAGTTTTCTAATTTTTGCATCCGTGCTTACTTTTATTTTTTTCCTGAGCTCTATTTTAAGTTTTTTATTATTGTTATAGGTGTTGTTGCTGTTTATATTTGGAGGATTTTTTTTGTCCACTTTTTTAATTTGCAGTTATGGTTTCTATATATTTTTCTCTATATATGAGTAGCAAAAAGTAGTTCCTACCTTTATATTTGATTTCAGGTTTTCATCTTTAAGATCGAAGAACTCATTAAACGTGGCAAAAAAAGGTTATTACCTTTTTGTTTGATTTCATGTTTTTATCTTCAGGGCTAAAAGAACTCATGAAAATATAATGGATTTTAATGCCTTAATATCTGCTTTCCTTGCTGAAAAGTTTTCTATGATTTTTTCAAAATTTCCCCTCAACTTATTTCCTAATCATTCACTTCAAGTAGCACAGCATACTGCATCGTTTATTTGCAAAATACCAAAACAAACAGGTAGCGTTTGTATAAATCTCCATTTTTGAGTTTGTGAAATAGAGGAAAAGAAAACGTGGTCTTAAATACCAAAGTTCATGTTTTGTAGCTACTGCTTTTCAATTGTGTTGTTGCAGTTTGTAAGAATTATTATGGTGCTCTCAACAATGGAGACCACGTTTGTTTTAATTGCTGATTTTCAATTTTTTTCTATATGCCCTCTCTATGAGCTAAAGCTCTCAAGAGAATATCAGCAAACTTATTGGTTGATTTTTCTTTCTCTAAAATTTTTTGTTTTTCCTTTGCAGTTGAGCTTTCACTGACATGCTCACTTTGACTAAATCAAACTTGTGCATGGTAATCAAGTGACTTCTAAGGTTTTCTTTTCTATCATTGTGTATATTTTTCTTGGCTGTGATTCTTTATTTTTTTTCCTTATAGTTTTAGTCTCCAATTATCACTTGATGGTTATTTTGATTTTACTGGTTGTTTTTTGTGATTGTGATGGGTCCAGAAAGAGAGAGGGGGTACAGTTAGTTCATTTTGCAATTTAATTGCTTGTTGATCTTTCCAGTTTCTTCATCTGTTAGAATGGTGAAATTTTTTTACAGAATTTTTTGAAGCCAAAATAACAAAAAAGATGTCAAAATCTGATTTTAGGAGTTATGATACTTTCCCACGAGTCTAGAAGATTAGGGCTATACTGCATTTTATTGTGCGCATATTGGGATATTTGGGTCTTTTGATCTCTCTTTCCTTTTGTCTAATTTAATTAGATTTCAGCTGTCAGCCATGTATTTTCTTTAATTTTGTTATATATGTTTTTTGTTTTCCTAAGCAAGTCCCTCTATTTTTCAAGTGGATAGCTAAAAGTTATATACTTTGTCAACTATTATAAGCTATAAAGGTAAGAAGAAGGCATATACTAATGATGCGGTTCATGCTGCTCTACAAGTGATAATGTCTCTTCTTCTTAGAACTGATGGATTTTGAACAAAGATGTGTTTGTGAAGTTGGTGTATTCACTGGTAAGGTCCATAGAACTCGAATTTGTGGAGAAAATGGACCGTAATGGTATAAAAGTACTTAGTTTATTATATAGCTTGTAATCCAAACCTTTCAAGAAATAATTACGTGGCCTGGTGTTTGTCGATAGATTTAATAAACTTTTGTGCTAAATAGGTGCCATGTGTCTTATTGTTTCATCTTACACAAGATAATTTCCCGGTGGACACACTTGTGAGTATTGCACTTTCCCAAGTCCTTTCTTTTTGGGTGCAAATTTAACATTTTAAGCACTTTCTTAGGTGTTCTTAATTGCTAAGAGCATTGGATACAAGGGGCATATCATCATGTCAATCGCCACATCATAGACAACCTAAAATTTGAATTAAGATGTCCCTTGTTCACTCCTGGTAAGATCCTTAATGTGTTGTTGTAGCTTTTGCTAATTTTGTTGCATACTGCTAGGACCAAGAGAGGTTGACTGAACATGAAATGTGAGTTAAGTGTTCCCGAACATTTCGGGATTGTTATGATGTTAGTGTTTTTTCTTCTTGCTCTCAAATTAAATGGTGACATGCGCATATTTCTTAGCCTTTGGTTTCTATTTTTCAAAATTTCTTCTTTTCTATTCTTTTATGAATTTATTTTTGTTAATAATGTATTTTTCTGGTTTTGCAGGTGCAAATGATGAAGATTTTGTCTGCTCAATACTCCTATTAAGTTTCTTCTTCCAGGTGAAATAGATTTTAATATTTCAAGAAGATAAAGTTCTCAATTCTTGTGATTTAATGATAATTAGCTCTTGCCTTCTAGGCTGCCTACAAGTTTATGTTATTGGATTTATTTCCTATATTGAAAAAACAGTAAATTTTTTGCTTCTTTCATGGATGTATGCTTACTATTGTTTTGAGTACGTGGTGAAATTTTAATATTTTTTTGTTGTGTCCTATCTGCTATAATTTAGATAAAAGATCGTGTCCTTAATTTTATGTTTCTCAGATATGAATGGAATCTTTCGGATTTGAGTTTGGACTAGAGGCTGGCCTTTTTTTAATCAAACTGGATTTTTTTGCTGGTTTTAGTAAAATTTTCTTTATTATTTTCCTTTTGTTTCAATACATATTGCTAAAATCTAATTGGAGTTCAAATTCTCCTTTAGAATTTTCACTCCAGAAAATTACATATAGTTTATTTGATGATACTATTAACATGTTTACAATTACTAGAATGTCCTTGAACTGTGTATTTTCAACTTGAAACTACAGCATTCCTGTTGGCCCAGCTTGTTCCTCTTTTTCCTCTCCCCTTTCCCGACCCCAATAAAAAATTCCCTTGCACGCCTCTTTTATTTTGTGATATGCTATAAGAAGTCTAATTCCGGATCATATTCCTAGACAAAATATTATTGAAGGTAGTGGGGCTTTAGGCGTTGATTCTTTGTCTTTGTGTATAAGTAGGTCTTGGTGTGTGTTCTTCCCTTTCTAATGCTTGCACGGTAATTTGGATTTCTCAGTCAGATTTGGTGGTGATAAAGTAAATTATTACCTGCGTCGTATAGATGATCATTGTTTTTTGTTTTCTATATCCTTCACCTGCATTGGTAGTTTGGTTCGTACATGGCTGAATGGTTGAGGTTGTCAAACTTTTATACAATTAGTTTCTATTAAATGAAAGTTTTTTTTATTGACAAAAGATGCGAAAGTACTAATGCTCTTAGTCACTGAAGTCACTATGCAGTCTCTCATAGCAAACATGGAAGATTTTATTTGATGAATATATGGAGCTGAAGCCTTTTGGTAGAAGAAAACTTTTTAAATTTGTGAGGGATGCTTTGAAATTCAAAGCAATTAGAATACATTTATTTTAGTCTTTTGCTGTTTTTTTTAGATGCATTATTGATTATTCGTTTGTATTTTTATAATTGTCTTTTGGGATCCCCTTGTATTCTAGCTGTATTCTTTTTCTCCTCTAGTTAGCTATGGAGTTATGGCTATACTCTACCCACTTGTACGTTGCAGCTATTCTTCTCACTATTTCTTGATCAATATGTCTTCCTATCGGTGCACAAGCAGTATTTTATTAACAGTTTCTTTTTTCTCCTTTTTGTTTGGGTACTTTCTTTTCATTGATGTTTTACCTTGTGATCAAGAGATTTTTATTTTTACTGCCTGGTGTTGAAATTGAAACTATATAGTTTTGGGGGAAAATGATGTTAGTGCTTAAATATATATATATATATGAAAATTGAGAAAGATTGGTCAATTCATCATGCATATTTTGTTATGCCACCTTCATCTCGTACAAGTGTTCAATAAAATGTCCAAACAAACCATGCAAGACTGCCCTCTTGAGTTTTACAAGCATTTGTAATTCGGAACTTCTTTGTGAATTTAGCCGAGGGTTGTAATATAGTTTGTTGGTGAGTTTGTAGACCTTGCCTCCAATTGAGAAAAGCGTGGCATTGGTGGTTTTAGAATGAGATGTAATTTCCAAAACTGTTCCAAAATTATGTAGTTATTATTATTTTTTATGATGATTGCTGTGAATTCGGATATAATTCTTATATAGTCAATTAAATTGGATGCAATTTATGAATTGTGAATATTAGGTATTTAAACTAAAGGTGGGAGAAGAAGAGCACGACATTTGGCGAGTCTCATTAATAGACTATACTCGAAGATGAGATTGTGAGTCCAATCCTAATGGTCAGACCAGACCTGCAGTTTTGCGAGATGTTCTTCATCATTGTTCCAGTTTGCAGTTGTATTATTTCATGCTGTTGCCTGAACAGGCATGATTACACAAGGTTGAGAATATTTGGTAGCATTTGCAAATATTTTTTCACCTTCTGATGTACAGTAATTTTCCTTTTGCATTTGCACGCTGGGCAGAAATGGGGAATAATATGAAATCCTACTACGCATTTCTGGGCACGTCTGAAAATTACACCGCGCATCGCGCGGTGTTCTCCTCCTCTAGTCTTAACAACAGTTTGAATGGAAAGTTTATCATTAACATTTAACTAGTCAATATAGAAAGTAAAGTGTATATATTTAAATTTTAGGGGTCAAAAAGTGGTTACAAAGAATCAAGTTCAAGAGGACAAAGTGTAATTGGCCCTAATTAATATTCAAAAAAAAAAAAAAGGAGTTCAAAAGGAAAATTATGGCAAGAAAAGATTTAGACGAGCTTAGATTGGGAGTTTATAAGAGGAGAAAAGAAAAGAAACGATGAGGATAAGTTATAGAAGAAAAGGAAAAAATGATTTTCTCTCAAGTTAATTGGAAATCTAGGAAAGAAAATAAATAATTTTGACACATTGCATTTTTATACACTGCCAGTGTATCATTTCCTTCACACTAATAAGTTTAGATCAATGCCATATAACATAAATTCAAAATTGATACTAGTATAAAAAAATCACTACATTGTTAGTGTACAAAAAAATTATTCTTATGATTTGATTTTTTAACATTTTGTGAATAAACTTTGCATTTTAAATACAATGATTAAGTGAAACTTTCCTTTCATTTCTTCACATTTTAAGGAGGAAAATTATTTAACCAATCTATCCCTCCATTTCCCCTTCTTTTCCCTCCAAATCTCGACTCCCAAACTAATCCTAAATGTCTCAGTATGTGTGTGTGTGTGAGAGAGAGAGAGACAGAGAGAGAGAGCGGGGGAGGAATAGCGTGCTGAATTACAGTCAATCCTTTCCTTCTTTCGAACCATTACTACTTTACTAGATATACTTTTGTCAATATACCAAAAATTAGACTAGAGATTCATTTTCAATAATATTTTCATCATTTCAACTACGTTATCATTATACAAGAACTGACAAAATAATTTCACTTGTCACGTTCATACAAATTATACTGTATAACCAAAAAGCATGGGATGAAAGAGTGAAAGCCTGGGACGGAGGAAAGAAAAAGGCTCATGAGCGCACTTGGACTCAATTCAGCTCCATGATTCTTTAGGATCAATTTTGATCCTAAAAATTGCACCCTGCCATGTTGACAAATAACCTGATGTACACAAACAGATTGAAGATGACCTCAACATTGTAAATCCATGTTTGCTGCACTTCTTGGTCGGATGCCACACTGTGAATCATGTAGGAAATTGTGTATCCTGCCAATCATCTCAATATTTCAGCAGCAATAAAGGATATATATACCATATATAATGTTCTCTTGCTTACTTTATTAAGCTTTCCAATGAAAATCCGTTCTACTTCGCCACGGAGAGTTTCAACATCCTTTGCATACTCGCTATCATTCTCTTCCATTACTAACTGCTGTAATTGCTGCCTCATCTTCTCCAAGGCTGCATCTAACCCACAAAACTCTTTGAAAACTAATGCTTCTGTCCGCAATTGTAAAAGGTTCTTGACTGCATAGAGTGCCTGTTATTGCATTATTATATTCAGCAAAGAGGAATCGCGTACAGAATACTTGCCAATCAGTAAAATGGCATCCAAAGAATGGTACACGAGATCCTTCCTTTTTAATTTGAAATATTTTTCATACTTAGTCCAAAAATTGAGCATTTCAGAGAATATGTGGAAAGTTTATATTAAACATGCACAGCATGAACCCCTGTTCTAGATTTCAATGGCCATGCTAAAGAGACACCTTTTCCTGGAGATCAAGGTCCACTGATGCAAGTAGATCAACCACAGACCTCAAAAAGAAACGATTGTGGAAGAAAAGGGGCTCTGGATTACTCCCATTTTCTAGCTGACACTCAGCCAGGTCAGCCACGAGTAGAACAGACTTCTTCTGTATTCTTATGTCAATGCTTGAGTTGCTCAGGATATCCTGAAAGAATGAACCATTGTAAACAGTGATATTCACACTAATAACTGTAAACAGGGCAGAAATGATTATTTGACGGAACTGCCATATTACATTTAACTATATGATCACCTGAATCATCAACTCGCCAGCTTCAGCATAGAAAAGTTCTTGCCCAACGAAATTATTTCTGATTAAAGCTGAAATAGCAAATAATGCTTTTATGGCTTCCTCAACAAACTCAGATCTTGCCATCTTGATCAGCTTTGCCAGAGCATCAAGTTCCAGTACCTGCGATCCTCATTGTTCAGATGATGTTTCTTGTAAGGAAAATTGTAAAATGCGCAAGAATTCCAATCAAAGACATATTATTTAAAAAATAAAAATACCTGCTTTTGAACAACAGGGTTATTTTGACAGGCTTTGCCAAGAATGAGTGCAGAAGCAGTCCTGACTTCTTGCTCGGGGTGATTTAGTTGTTTTATAACTATAATGAGACCACCAAGTTTGTGCAATTCTGAAAAGAAAAGTTTATATCTTATAGACCTACCAATAGAGAGAAACGCTACTTGAAAATTCCCAAAAGAAAAGTGGAAGGCTGTACTTTGTGCCTCCACAATTATAGCTTTCTTCCAGAACAAGCTACAAGCTCTTTGGCTTATTATATCCAGCAGAAAAATACAGGAAGCAGTAGCAGCACATAATTTACGAGATACAGAACTATGGAAAGTGCTATCATGTGAGAAATTCTATTGATGGATCACCAATTATGTACAATAGAACAATTCAAGATATCTCAATGGAAAACCCACAAGAGCAAATCATCGTCACAAAAAAAATTCGATCTACATAAGCATCATGTTATCTGAAGTTTTGGAACTAAATTCAGCTAGACTGCACCCACCATCAACAAGTTTTGGAAAGGAGAGACCATTCGCTAAAAGTTATCATCCACGGTACCTTATTAAAATACTGATTGAAATGACAAAAAGAAAAACTTCACACAATGAATGCATCCTCTTCATGACAAAACAGTGGTCACAATTAGAACTTCTTTTAGATAACAGGAAAGAAGGATGCTTTCTTATCTTTAAGAGATTACATGAATAAAATATGAATATGTAGAATTTGCTTTATCAAATGTTACCTCAAACGAGTGGGACAAAGAACTCATGGTTTAAGCCTCAAACAGACTATCACAGTTCACAACAGTTACTTTGGCTCTTTCAGCACATAATGTCCTGTTATTTCAATCAGCGAATGACAAGAAGCTCATCTTCCAGCTATTTGACAAAGTCGGGAGCATTTCTACTATTGCTAGGTGAAAGAATGTTAACAAAATGTACAACTAAGGACTATATGCATGGAGTATGGAGAACAGTAGCTCAACAAAATTATATCTTCAGATCAAATGAAACAGCTGAATACACAAATTGGAAGCAGCTAAAGTATATTTCATTTGTTGCTCAAGCGTTAGCAATAAAAATTGTACAAACCATTTGCATTATCTATTGGCTCCACAAGTGTTGAAAGCTCCTCTAGTGCACGAAGACGATCCTCTGATGGTAAAGACGAATTCTTTAAATCATCTATTGCAATCCTCATCAGTTGTGCATCTGAAGGCATCTTTAACTTCTCCATCAGTTCCTGACAAGCCTAAAATCTTGTTATATATTAAAGGATAAGAAGAATGCACAAGTGGCAGACTTTTAAGGACAAAAAGGAAAACATTACTGGAAAGGATATACAACAGAAAAGGACAGCCAAAACAGTTAAAAAGGAGCATAAACTAGATGCCCCGACCAAATGCATTCAATGGTATGTTGTACTTTCAGCCTATAGATGAAACCACAAGTTAATCACTCTGACCTTTATCTCCATATGGCGTTTCTTTAGCTCATCAGGAGACAAGCGTTGGACATCTTTCGCGGCTTCTTTCAACTTAGAAGGATCGGAATGCCCTGAGACAAAAGCAGCGGCTGAGGAAAAGGAAATAGAATACACCATTGAACTAACAGGTTGAAGCCCAAAAATCAAGACAAACAGTGAAATCTTATCCCAATACAAGCCTCACGGTCAAGTACAAGAGTCCCGTTTGTGGATTTACTTTAGTTTAGGTAGGCATCACATTCCCAAAAGGCAGATTTCCATCTCTTTTTCAATAAACTCACTGCATTTTTATCTTTGGTTACCTCTTCCTCCAAACCTTATCATCAGTTTGACTTTGAAACAGTATTTCACAAAACTTATGCACATAGCCATGCATGCATAGCAACCATTCTAAAGCATGCTATAATTCCAAATGCTTGTAGAAGCTCATATCTCATTCATCCATGTTCATAGGATCTTCCATCACATGACCACACTGCCAACACAGTTATACAAAGATTACAGCACATTACTAATACAAGATGGTCATTTCCTTGCATGTCAATCCCAAAATTTAGATTTAGAAGGTCAAAGGGAACGTACATAATAGAATAAGGAGGGGAGCAAATACAATCTAGAATCATGCCAAGGCAGAGGTGAATCTCAAATTCAAATTTTAGATATTTCTTCTCACATAGTAGCAGCCTCCCGTAGATGTACACTCCATCACCTTTTATAGAGAAGATTTACAAATAGAAATGTTGATTTACTTGACAGTTATCAAGAGTTTTCATGGGAAAAAAAAATTAACCGATATAGGTATCATCGCTTTAGCCCTACGTAATAGACTATAGACATAAAACTTGAGCACGTCAATTAAAAATTTAAAGCTTAAAAGCCTTGAAATGATGCTGCCATATTCGTTGTCAGCGATAATGTGCATAAAGAAATTTTCGTGACAGCAATTATATGGGTCCACAAATCCCAATGCACCTAATGTGCAACACAGACTGAAAGAGGGCATATAAAGAGAAGGAAAAAGTTGACATCTGAGGCAGAGGCTGAGGCCGGAAAGATAAAACTAGTTAATTGGAATCGGAGCTCAATCAAGTAGGCACCAGCGAGGGCTAACAAGCAGTTAGGACTACGACAATTTATAAAGTAATAAAAGCTCATCAGAGTTTAAGCTTCAGTTGCAGACAAAGATAAGGGAAATGATTATTTTTAAGAAAAACTAGTAACAACTAACAAGGGAGGGGAGCACAGGGGAAAAAAAAAAGGGTTAGGAGGAAAATAAACTAAACTACTCAAGTAGTCGAACCTATTGCCCACTGCAACATTCCGTCGAGGGAAGAGAAACCACCGGCGTCAAAATCACGGTGGTTCTCGTCATCATCATCCCAGAGCAAAGAGGAATCCCCGGCGGCGTCGGCTTTTGCAACGAGATCTCCCTCCTCTTTTGCGGTAGACCAATACAGGCCTGTGGACGCCGACTTGTTTAGACCATCCGCCGAAGCCCTTGCAGCAAAAATGCTCAATGCTAATGCTGCTGCTGCTGCTGCTGCTATTGTTGTGAACGCTATCATCAATCGCATTTTAGGCGGCAGTGAATAGTGATAGGGGCTCTACCTTGTCCTTTTTCTTTCAGACATCTCTACCTTCCTTTATTTTGCAGCTTTTATATCGAACTGCAAATTTAACAAAACAATATACTACTTTTTATTAATAATAATAGGATGAGAAGACGAAGGGTCCGAACAGAACGGAGCTCCCGGCACCCAGTCAACTACTTCTGAGGTTTCAGATGGGTTGTGAATTGGGAATTATGGGGACTGCGGCGTCAACCGAAGGCGAAACCGAAAGTGCCGGATTTGCAAGCGGTCATACATTAATAATTATTACCACTTTATTAGTTAGCGTAATGGTGACGAGAGCCAAATGTATTTAAACTTTTAATTATTAATTAGAGCGAATTGCGCGAAATGTCACTAAACTATTTCAAAGTGCCGGTTCTGGTCACTAAACTTTTTTATTAGCGTGAAATGTCACTGAACTAGTAAATCTGTACCGTTTTGGTCACTCCGTGTATTTGTGCCGTCAGGAGAGACGGAAATCAACTTTTTGAGGGGCAAATTCGTCTGCACAGTCTTTTCCTTGAAACTCTCCACCATAAATCACTCTAAAGCTTCAGACAACTCGTAAGTTCAATTAGGAAGTGCAAACCCTTATCCTGTAATAGATTTCTTCTGCAAATATGGAGTAGGAGGGACAATATACGAAGTTGCGATTTGCTGGGAATGTGTTGAAGCTTCATTGGAGGAATACCTAAGAAAAGAACTCCGACTTGCAATTTGCTGGGAATGTGTTGAAGCTTCATGAGAGGAAAAGGCAAGGAAACAACTCCGACCTGCTCTTGTGGCAGTAAAACCAATTTGAAGACTTCATGGACTGATAGGAACCCGGCAAGGAGATATGTTGAATGTCCTAATGGCAAGGTAAGTGTGTGAAGATATAGGAAATTCGTTAAATTAGGTTAATGTTTAATTGTTTAGACATTTATCGGCTAAAAAGAATTTGGATAATTTTTTTGTAGGTTGATGGCTGTGGTTATTGGAATTGGTATGATGAAGAAATGTGTGAGCGTTCGAAACAAGTCATACCCGGTCTTTTAAGAAGAATAAATAGGGTGGAAATCGAGAATGAAACTTTGCGGCAACAAATTCTCAAGTTGCAAAAGAAAGCTGAGAAAATGGAGGATAGAGTAAAAAATCTGAAGAAGAAGCTTGGAAGAAAGAATGTGAAAAAATGGTCATTGTTCTTTTTGTTATAGCCTGAACAATTGTTAATGCATCAATGTGGATTTGGGGGCCTAACAAGGGACAGAAGTTTGGAAGGCTGCAAATTGATGGCTACTAGAGTATTGTTGTACTTCAAATCCTAAACCAGTGCTGTCAAATGTTTTAATACACAGCTCGTTGTTGTTGAGGTTATAGTGTTTTTATATACACCTCATTTTGGTTGGTGTTGTTTACACCATGGATGTTTGAAATTGTAATTTATGAATAAAAGACTGAAGTATTAGTTCCAACATATGGGTGGTGCAAAAGAAAGTAGCTCACAAATGTAGAAAACATAAAGCCAAATACAACAAAAGAGATAATTATCACTATCATTCCAAACAGCTGCTTTACAAAAGAGATAATTATCACTGTCATTCCAAACAACTGCCAACAAAGTTAGCCATGTTTCACATATAAATAATCTGGAATTGTCCTAGACATAGAATACATCCAAACAAAAGCTATGCAAACAAGTCCTTTAATCTGATCTTCCACTTCTACTTCTACTGCTCCTTGATGTTCCAGCCCATCTACCAATCTTGAATGGAGCTCTTTGCCAAGTACTCATAGTTTGGTGTTGATCCTTATCTTGTCAATTTCAGACAGCTTTCTCTTTGAATGGAGAGACTGTTTGTTGGCCGCTGTAGTAGACTGGTCGGTATCATTGACAGGCCTAACTCTCCTCACCTGTACACAAGTACAATAAATATTAACAATAGCTATTTACCATAGTAAAATTAAAAATAAAATTAGAAATAAATTTTTGCACCTACAGGTGTCTTAGTCTTTCTAATCTGCTGCTTTTTCGTACTACTAGTGGCAGCTTGTGCATTACGTTCAGCATGTGAACCAGTGTCATTATGGGAAGTAGTTTGCTCTTCAGCTCCATGTGGCTGAGAATTGACACAACTTGAAGAATATCCTTGAACTTCCACATGAGCAAAATCAGGCTCCTGAGAATTAGCTCCATGTGTTGTGCTTGAGCCATTGTTGGTGCCTTTTGACTTTCTAGCATGTTTAGGAGCTGGAGCAGGTTGACTGCAGCCTTCACCTCCATTATTTTCTGGAACACTTTTGCAGGTAGCAGCATTGTGGCCTGCCTGACCACATCTTCTACAGTGCATGATCACATGCTTTTTAATTTTTGCACATTATTCGTTCCCACATGAACACCACTTCTATTTTCAGAACTACCTTTTCTTCTTGCTTTCTTGGGCCTACCAGGTTGGACACATGCAAGTGGAGGATCTAATATGGGAATATCACTCTGAGGCCATAGAGACTTTCCACTAATTGGATATAGTACATTCTCATATATTTGAAAGAATAGATCTCTACTATAACACTGATCGGCATAGTCATTTGGGTTCCTACCAATTTTTAAAATGGCAGAAATTGCATGGCAGCAGGGGAGCCCACTAATTTGCCACAACCTGCATGTACAGGTTCTGTCTCTTAAGTACACAGCAAATTGTTCCCCCTTAGGTCCCCTAACCTGATATCCCCCCTTCCCATTTGATATTGGCTTCCACTTTCTAGAAAACTTTTCCCTCTCCTCAATCAAAGCCTTTATTGCTGGTCCCACAGGACCACTACATTTTCTCATCCAATATACCCTATTTGATATCCTTTCCATTATGAATTGTCTAATCCACTCAACCATCCCAATCACTGGCAACTCTCTAGCATTTAATATATGAGAATTAAATGTCTCTGATAAATTATTAACCAGCATGTCAGATTTCACGTGAAGTGGAAAAAAAGCCTTACACCAGTGATGAGGTGGTGCAGCTCTCTTGACCCACGCGTGAGCTTGCTGGTCATATGCTCTAAGCTCTTCCAAAGCTGCCTCATAGAACTCCACTGTTGATGCTGCTGCAATGCTCCAGAATTTTTCTTTAAGCACTTCACCAGGGTGCTTTTTCTTGAAATTTCTGTACATATGTGTACACAATATCTATGGCCAGCTTCTGGTAATAACTCCAGCAGTGCACTATCAAGACCCTATAAAAGAGTTCTAAGTTTAGTCACTTGCAAAAATTATCCTATACAATACATGCTATAAGGATAAAGAACAGTACTCCTAACCTTCTGTTGGTCTGAAATAAAAGTGTATTCACTGCTAGTTGCTGGTATTTCTAGATCACCAATCAGTAAACTCAAAAACCAAAGCCATTGTTCCCGAGCCTCCTTCTCAACAACTGCCCAAGCTAATGGCCACCAGCCATTATTTGGATCTGCCCCAATAGCAATCAACAACTGCCCTGGATATGCCCCCTTAGTGTGACAGCCATCAAGAGCAATAAGGGGCCTACATCCCTCTCTAAATCCCTTTTTCATTGGTCCCAAACAGCAGTAAAATCTCATGAATCTGGGATTACTTTCAGGATCAGCTCTTGGTGAATACTTGATGTCTATGGTGGTGTCAGGGTGAGTTTTTTGTAGTTCTGCTGCGTACCTCCCAACATCAATATACTGCTGAGATGCTGACCCTTTGATAGCAGCCTTAGCCATTGCAAGTGCTTTGTAACCTTTGTTTCTTGTGATCTCGCAACTATATTGCTCATCTATACTCTGTAACAATTGCCTAACAGGCATGTTCATGTTGGATCTAACAGACTCTTCAAACTTGTCTGCTACCCAATTGGATGTCATGTTTTTGTTTCTCCAAGCATGGCTGCAATTGGTGTGGACATCGTAAATTGTTTTAACTACAAAGTCTTCAGTACCCAAAGCAGGAACGTGGCTAGCATAAATGTACCACTTACACGGATCTGCACATTTAGCTCTCATTCTTGTTTTGTCACTTGTATACATGTATACAGGTCTTCCACTTATAATTGCATAATTTCTGAGAGCATCTCTGAACTGTTTTTTGGTTCCAAATTTTTGCCCAACATGAAAATGGGGATCTGTTCCATCTCTGCTAGCATTGAAACTAGTGTATCTCACAGGAACATCTTCATCTTCTGAATCTGGATCACTATTTAATTCCCCTTCCACAATATCATCCAATAGTGGGTTGTGTTCCGCTCTATTTTCAAATGCTTCAGCTTCAGTTTCAGGACCAGCTTCTGTTTCAGCTTCAGTTGCTGCCCTTCCTCATTCTCTATTTTCACATGCTTCAGCTTCAGTTGCTGCCCCAGTTTCTGTTACAGGTTCAGTTGCTGCACCTTCATTTGTTGCACCTTCACCTACTGCACCTCCATTTGATGCACCTTGACCTGCTGCCCCTCCATTTGATGCACCTTCAGTTGCAGCACCATTATTTGATACACCTTCATTTGCTACACCTCCTTTTCTAACTCTTTTTGTAGCACCACAAAGGGCCTCCGACGTACGAGATTTTCTCCTATCTCTGTTTCTTCTATTTCTGGAACTGTCATTGTCCCTCCTATTCTGACTTGATGGAGTTGGGTCATTATCAACTTGGCTATGCATTTGTGGCTCGGACTCCTGTGTATTGTTGTTGGCCTGTTCACATCTCCTAGAAGAATTTTGGTATGCATCTTCATCTTCACCAGCATGGTCATGTGTCCACTCTAAAGCTGCAACTGATCTACTAGCTTGGACTCCTTTTCGTTGTCTATGAGGTATTGCTGCCTGTTGTGTAAGAATTTCACCATCATCCAAGATCTCCTCTATTACCACTGAACTCTTTGTCTGTGATAACTGTTCCAATTCCTTTTTCTTCTGCAACTCATATATTTCCTCAACTGTTAAATGATGACAGTATACTTCCATCAACTTGTACTCATTAACCCAACCACAGAATTGCATAATGTCTTCATCCGTTTGAAGTTCCATCAGTCCATGGTTCAAATCCCCTCTAGGGTCAATGTAATAATATAACATAGTATCGTTGTGCCCACACTTTTCCACCATTTTATTTATTTCATGAATCGACATAAAATCAGCATGGCAAAGATCGAAATAATCAATCTCTCCACCCACATAACTCTTGTATTTCTCTCCCTCAATTTTACCGTGGTGGAGTTTAATCGAAAATGCAGGTCTATCAGGAACTGCAACAACAACGACAAAGGCAAACAACATGATTCTTGTTAATCACCATTTTTTATTGTCATACATGCTGTTCTTCTTATAAAAATACTTAACCCCCATTTGTTAATTAACCCGAATCAGACAACTGCATTTTGAAAAGTTTATTTTTTATGATTAAATTACAAGATAGAGGGTTCTTGTAGGACCCTTGCAACCCACTTATACGACAAAAAGGAAGTCAATCGTTCTTATGTCATTTTCTAAACAACCGGATCACTTCAGCAAACCCTAAACCCAATAAAAACTCTCACTAAATACTTCTTTATACTCAAAACACAAACAACACCATTAATCAAGCAAAATGTGTACGGATTGTAATATTTCTTACCGTATAATGTGTACGGATCAATGAATTCATCCCTTTGCCTTTTCACCCATTTCGCTGTCATCGATGACGATTCTTCACTGCTAATCTTCGTCTTTTGCCGGTTCTTTGAGTCTTGTCACTGATTACTGTGAGAAGAATGGATCAATTTTGATACTTTTCACTGTCATTGTCCACATTCCCAAAAATTTTACCAACATTCCAAAGCCCCACAGTTAAACCTTTCACTTACCAGATGAAACTCTTCCCACTAAGGCTGTGCAGACGAATTTGCCCCTCAAAAAGTTGATTTCCGTCTCTCCTGACGGCACAAATACACGGAGTGACCAAAACGGTACATATTTACTAGTTCAGTGACATTTCGCGCTAATAAAAAAGTTTAGTGACCAGAACCGGCACTTTGAAATAGTTTAGTGACATTTCGCGCAATTCGCTCTATTAATTACTGTTAATACAGTATTAAGAAGATAAACTAGTGATGTGCCTTCTTCTTGAAAATTAATTGTTTTCTTTTAGTGGACATAGAAAACAAAATAATGCAATCAATGTAAGAATAATAAGGGGTATAAGAATTATAAGGGATCTAGAACTAGAGGAAGCTGAATACCATTGAGTTGTGTATTAATTAATTTTTTTTTTATTGTAACGGCATATTTAACCTAATTTAACATACTCCTACTCCTACACTTGGAGAGGGGGAGCCTACTCTAGAGAGGTAGCTCAACTAAGTCAGAGGGAATCTGACAAGGATTGAACCACCATCAGAACCCATATGAATTACAGAAGCACATTAAACCTTACCTCCCACCCCAGAACTAATGTAGCGGGCAAGGAATTGGTTAAGTATTAATTAATGTTGAAGTCGGAGAAATTTGAATGTTGTATAACTGAGTCATGTAGTCTGACAAGTTTATTACGGTAGAGATTAGTGTACTTTTGGAAAAAGAAAATAGTTAACCATAAATGATGGGATTTCTATTTTACTTTTTTTTGTTTTGATATAAAAAAAAAAATTGACACCGCCTGTAACACCGCATTATTCATAGATGTTAAATAATCAATTTTATGTTAATCGAACGGACAAAATATCCTTTCACGTAAATTTCACCCCTCAGCGTGGAAAATAATATGCTATTACGCTAGTAGGAGGATTATAACAATTTCTGAGTCTTCAATTGAGAGCAAACAATTGAGAGCAAAGGGCCATGCCATCCCCCGTCCTTTCATTTGGATCCCGGGCTAGCTATACATACGTACTTGGTCAGAGTTAGAGATTAAGGAAGCCTGTGCACTGAAATTTAGGCTAGTTTGAAAAGCAATTTTTCTTTACGTTGTTTTTTATGAATATATTTCTCAATCACCTTTTCACCTCACATATATTAAATCAAATCGCTATAGTAATTTTTTCACAAAAAATTCAGAAAAATTTCCCAATCCAAACGTGACCTTGGGTTTTCTGAAGGGACAGGGGCCGTCAAGCGAGCGCTATGCTGTGACTTGTGAAGAATTGAATTGCAAGGACTTCCATACTAATAGTGGACTTTTGTGCATACGGAGCTGCCGTCGATTAATACTAATAAAGACATATGCCAAATTCGTCTTTAAAGGGCATCCATCTATAGTGTTCTATTCTGCGCTTGGTGAAAATGAAGAGTTGTTTTCTTGGACGGATTTAATATATGTTGGATGATTTAGAAAATGCTCGAGGGAAGAAGAGAAGGAACCGAATTAATGACCTATTCTTCAGACTTATCATCAAAATGTGCAGCATAATTAAACAATAGGTAGTCTGTGGAGTAGTGCAACCAACAAACTGGAAAGTCAAAAGGCCTGATTTTCGGATGCAAAAACGCAAACTCACTCAAGTGCCCGTTTTGGAAACAGAGAAGATGCCAAAAGAAAATTCAGTCCCACAAAGGACCTCCAGCCGCAAAGAATGCGACTAACCAAACAAAGTAATGGCGATACGGAATCTGAAGTGATAGGCCAATTAGCAACTAATGGCCATTTTATTGATAGAATGCCCTGCAACTAATTAACAAATTTTGACTTGACTTCTTTGGTGTCTTAGATACTCCTGCTCATGCCTTGCAGGAGTGATCCAAGGGCAAATCATGGACATAAAATCATTTAATTTTAATCCTCCCTATGGGGTTGCTGAATTTTAATTTGATTGTAACAACAGAAAATGACTAATTTTATGATGAAGATGACATTTGAAATATATTTTTTCACGGATTCCCAAGAAAACCTATTTTTTACAGGAATATCTAGTAAAAAAATTTGCCCAACAAAAAAGTACAACCTTATTCCACAAGCCTAAGGCTGGCTAAATAAGCCAGACTCGAGATTTTGCTGTTTCCACTACATTCATGGAGGCATTTAGAATTTCAAAACATGCGAAGAGCATCATGATTTACACAAACGAAATCAAGATAAAGCAAAAAGAAAACAAAGCACCGTGTGAAAGGAAAGTAATAAAAACGACCAGAAAAACATTCACTGGGTCATACGAGTTAGAGATCATCAAAAGGTTGCAAATGGATGCATCG